ATTTGAAAAATTTTGAGCCCCCTTCTGACCCATTTTGGTCAATTTTGAATTTTCCTGGGGTACCCCTCTGCGTGTGTGTGCCCCAAAAATCAAAATCACCCGAAATAGGTCGATATGGGGCTCAAAATGTCCCAAATTTCATGGAAAATTTGAATTTCATAATCATTTTTGCTCAAAAACACTTTTATTGCTTCAAACTAGTCCTAAAGCCCTAAACTCACTCGGATGATCCGGCTCGAAAGGAATCTTCTCATTGACCGTCGTCACAACCTTCTCCACCAAATTCCTCGTAATTGGAACATTGATACCAAGTGATTGGAGGGCTTCAAGCACCGATGTCGTCGCATTCTCATCGATTCTGTTCATTCCAAGATACCAGCTAGTGGATCCAGTGCCAGTTGACACAATCAGCCCAGATGATTTCTGTTTGACTGATTGAGAATCGTCTATGGAGATGTTATAAGTTGACACCTTTGCTGCCTCATCTTCCCCAATGAAAACTTCATTTAATGCTAGATTGGTGCTCTTTTTGGGGGATTTTTTCATGGAGAAAATTGAAAAAGCCTTGCCGTCCTTTGCAGATACAGTAACCCGAATCCTGGAGCGCTGGACCCAATTTAAATTTCCGCTGACCAATCTTTCAATTAAATTTCGCGGGGGCGTTTTTCCTCCAACACACAAATGCCCTTCAGATCCAACTGGGTCAGTATTGATTCCGATAATTGGGGTTTGATCATTAACCACTGAAGCCGCGGCCAAAAAGGTGCCATCTCCTCCTGCGGAAATCACCAAATCGGTTTCTCCCAAGAATTGAGCCAACTGCTGACGTGTCACCACTCTGGAAGTGATGCCAGCCTTTTCTAGCTCCTTGATGATCTCTTGAACAGCTTGCACTTGTTTTTTCTCGTTCTCCAGGAGCTCTGAGACGTTGGTGCCTTTTTGGTGGAGGTGTCTGAAAATTTGGAACATTTTAAATCTAAATTTGGCTTTTTTGGATCATTTTGGACCATTTTGAGCTAGCTTACAAGTTAAAGAAAAATATTCCAAAAAATCGGAAACATTGATAGGTTCAAAAAACTAGGAAAACTTAATTTTTGAGCATAACGAACTTTAAAATCAAGTTTTCCATAAAATTCGGGACATTTTGAGCCCCATATCGACCTTTTTTGGACAATTTTGACTTTTGGGGCACACACGCAGAGGAGTACCTCATGAAAATTCAAAATTTACCAAAATGGGTCAATATGGGGCTCAAAACGTCACAAATTTTATAAGAAACACAAATTTCATATCTTTTTTGCAAGAAAACCAAAATTTTTGAAAATTTCGAAAAAACTTTTTTTTTCAAAATTTTTCATAACTCTATAAAATGTTGATAGATATTCCAAAAGAAACCTCAATTTTGTGTTTTTCAAGAAATTTGGAAAGTTTTGAGCCCCATATCGACCTGTTTTGGGGAATTTTGACTTTTGGGGCACACACGCAGAGAGGTACCTCTCGAAAACCAAAATGGTCAGAAATAGGTCAAAATGGGGCTCAAAACGTCGCAAATTTTATAGAAAACGCGAATTTGAAGTTCATTTTGCTCAGAAAAACTCGAAATATCCAGCATTTTTGTAAAATCAAAAAAAAAATTTTTTTTTGATAAAAAAATTTTTTTAGAAATTTTTTAAAAATTTTCTAAAAATTAAACTCACTTTTTCAATTCGGCATCAGTCATTCCAGTTTGCTCTTTCTCCCACTGCCATCTTGTGCTTTTCCGGAGGATCAGGGCAGATCTGATTGGCTGAAAGTCATATTTTTTGGAAATTTTCAAAATTTTTTGAATTTTTTTGGTCCAAATCTCAATCCCAGAATTTTCTAGACCCAAAAATTCGATTTCCTCTCAAAAAACTGGTCAAATCTCGGCTTTTGTAGCTTCTAAACGCTCGTTTTTGCACTTTTTCAATTTCCAGTCTCGCGTCTCTCGTTTCCCCACACTCTCTCGTCTTGTCAACGAAAAAGTGGCGTTTTTCGGAGAAAATCGTAATTTTTCGACCGTTTTGGTCAAAAAATGATGATTTTTTGTAGTTTTTATGAGTTCTAATGCTTCTAAATTGACATTTTGGGTGTAAAATCGAAAAAAAAAATTTCAAAAAAAAAAATTTTTTTGAAAATGTGAAAAAATAGAAAATTCTAGGCCACCGTACCTGTTCTTGCTTGCTACCACTTGGCTTCGATTGTGTCATCGGTGATACGGGACGTGCCACGTGGCTAACGCACTGGGAAATCGCCAAGGCGGCCATTTTTGGCTGAAAATTGATTTAATTAGGGATAATTAGGGGCAAATGTGGGGCGAAATAAGAGAAAATCAGAGAAAATTGAAGAAGAATGAGCTAAAAATCGACGGGAATCGATGAAGAATGGGGTATTAACCAAAAGAAGCAATTGAAAAATTGGAAAAAAACTTTTTCCGAAAAATTTTTCATTGTCAAAATTCTCAAAAAATCTTGGTTTTCTAGCAAAATCGAAATCAATTTTGAACACTTCATGAAATTTAGGACATTTTGAGCCCCATATTGACCCATTTTTGTGAATTTTGATTTTTGGGGCACACACGCAGGGGTACCCCCCTGGAAATTCAAAATATTTACAAATTGGTCAATATGGGGCTCAAAATGTCTCAAATTTTGCACTGAATTCAAAAATATTTTTGAAAGATGTTGAAATTTCAGTTTGAACGTATTTAGAGACAATTTTAATTTTTGACCAAAAATATATTTTTTTGGAAAATTATTGACTTTCGAAATTTCAAGAAATCTTGGTTTAACGGTAAATAAAACTCAAAATCGTGTCATTCATAAAATTTGGAACGTTTTGAACCCCATATTGACCTATTTTGAGCAATGTTGAATTTCCAAGGGGTACCCCTCTGCGTGTGCGCCCCAAAACTCAAAATTCACCGAAATAGGTCAATATGGGGCTCGAAATATCCCGAATTTTATGAGACAGATGAATAACACATTTAATTTGCTTTAATTTGCTTACTTTTTTCGAAATTTTTGAAAAACCAAAAAACCAAAATTTCGGTGATTTTTCATACAAAACTGGAAAGAAAAAAGCGGGGTATGCTTCTTATCATATCAACTATTTTCTATTCAAAAATATCAGAATTGATAAGTAAAGTAATCAGAACTTTCTAAAAAAATGGCACCACCACCAAAAAATCACTATTTTTGCTATTTAAAGGCGCAGCAGCCGGCTTAGGCTCCGCCCCCTTTTGGACCGGAACGGAACAATATACGTTGTGTAGGCTATAGAGGAGGAAGAAAATAACAAAAAAAAATGGAATTGTGTGGGTGGATTTGAAAAGAGAAGACGGTAGAAATCAGATGGTTTTTGGCTCCGAAGGAGAAGGAATGTTTGAACCCATTTTTTTTTATTTATTTTTCGAAATTGATCTTGGTGGTGGTTGAGAAAAAATGTTTCTATTTGCACAAGTTTTGAGGATCTAGAAGAAATTAGAAAAATGCGAAAAAAATGCAGGTGGGTGAAAAATGTCAAAAATTTATGACATATTTTGGCTTCAAAATTTGTTTAAACTTGACTTTCATAATTCCCCTTATATTTTTTCAAATGTAGCATAAAATTTGGGACAATTTGAGCCCCATATTGACCTATTTTGAACAATTTTGAAGTTTCCAGGGGTACCCCTCTGCGTATGTGCCCCAAAAATCAAAATTGACCGAAATGGGTCAATATGGGGCTCAAAATGTCGCTAATTTTATGAAAAACACGATTCTAAGTTTCACTTTGCTCAAAAGCCCGAATTTTTCCAAATTTTAGAAATTTCGAAAATTTCCAAAAAAAAAGTTGTTTTCTGTCAAAAATTAAAGATTCCCTAAAAACATATTAAACATCAATTTCAACATTTTTTGTGTCATTTTTCAATTGCAGTACAAAATTTGGGACATTTTGAGCCCCATATTGACCATTT